ATGAATATGAAATTACAAGATAGGCATAATCATTTTATCTTTCTTTCAGAGTATGGCTACCAATTGACAACTAGCATTGGCGAGTCAGCAATTGAACTTGTCCTAAAATAATGCAGTTTAGCTTCACATTTATTTCGAAAAATACTTCAATGATCACAAAAAAAATAATCATTTAAGAAATATTTAATCTATTATTTGTCATTATTTTCAAGCATATCGGAACTACTAAGTGGCCTTTAAATTCATGAAAATGTCTTCCCTGTGTTTTAGTAATACGCCTCACTTCTACTGTTACTGTTCTAAACTATTAAAAGAATTTTAGTATATTTTGGTTTGGATTAAATAAAGGTTTTTTGTCTTTGCAAATTTCAATAAATAGGTCGGCCAATCAAATTCACGTTCACAAGCAAGTTATTTATTTTTTTCACTTATCTAAATTTATTGATGAGAACTGTTTCCTTATTCATTAAAACTCATATTTTGGTCAATTTAGCTCTTATTGGAATAACGATATGGATTTTCACGTAACTGCAACCATTCGGTCAAAGTCAGCATCATACGTTAGCCTTGATGTCCTATCAATTATTCCAATCATTAACAAATCTTTATTCAAATAAATTTGAGATTTTATCAATTTATTATAGAAACACACTCCTTTGCATGAAATTGAAAATAATTCCGTCGAAATATGACTTTGAATAAAAGCCTTTAGCATAACTTAATAAATGCAGAAACTGAAAAAATATTCCACAATTTGTTACGGATTGAATTTTTTATTCTTGATGAATGTGTAGGCATTGATAATTCTTCTGAACACGCTTGGAAACGTCCTAATAAAATGAACTTTAGTGTAATGATTGGGCTGAGTAATCACAGATCGAGATAAAACTGTCTTTGAATTGATTTCTTCATAAATAAAACTTTTTCAGAGGCAAAATGTATTGTCAATGAGAAATAGTCAAGAAGTACAAACATACGTGCCTGGCATTAAGTCTGATCTAATGTTGCTACTTGACAGATACTGGGTACAAAATTGTAACAGTCAACATCTAACAAATCGTGCACAACAAGTGCATAATGACTTCGAGTTGTGGGAAAGTGCACCAATGTGGCTTTATTAAGTTCGGAATAAAAATTCAAGTATTAAAAGAAATGGAAAATTAATGCAATAAGTAATCTCAGAGCTTTAATTGTTGGTTACGAGCTAAATGGCAATTCGGTAAAGTGGAGTGGTTAAACTCGTTAATTCCTTTTTGTGGCATTGGCATTGTAAAATTAAAAGGTTTTATCACTTGATGTACGCAGATATTTGAAGAGCAAGATTAAATCATTTAGGTTCAAGTTTTTGGGACCAAGAAATTGCAATAAATTTAGTAAAAAAATGAATAATCGGTTGTTTAATAATAAATTGGAGGAAGACTCATTTGAATTTTGAAACTTCAAATGATCCTCTTTATCTTTTCACTAAATAGTTGGGGTGTGCGATAGACTTACCTCCACGTGGTGCACCCTGGGCAACGTATACTCATACGGCAAAAAATTCTATTAACCAGCAGTTGACTTCTCACTTCAAACTACCATGGCCCGACTGCTTGTCATATTCGACCCCTACCACAGTACTCATCTTACCTTTTTCTCTACCTTTGTGTCTGTCTGCCTCTTTTACATCTGTGAATCGCTCTTCTGATCCCCACCCTTCGACTTTCTGCTACTTTGATGAACCTTCCTTCTGTGAAGCCCGAAGTCAGCTAAATGGCAACTGATGGCTATCATAATGCCTGCCATTTGAAATAAATAAATGTTTACCTCCACTCCAGTCGATGAAAATACCAAGGGTTCTGTTTTACCATCTGGTGTCGCGACGATTTTTGAGCACGTATATTTTGGAAACATTTTACCATTTATTTCTAGGGGCGCAATTATTTGCAGCAAAATCAAGGTAAAAAGATTCTTAAAATGCGCACTTCAACTTTTTTCCGCATTCATATATATATATATATATATATATATATATATATATATATATATAGTTAAATTGCTTCAATGTGCTCCAAGGCCANTTTTACCATTTATTTCTAGGGGCGCAATTATTTGCAGCAAAATCAAGGTAAAAAGATTCTTAAAATGCGCACTTCAACTTTTTTCCGCATTCATATATATATATATATATATATATATATACATATAGTTAAATTGCTTCAATGTGCTCCAAGGCCATCAATTAATATGTCTTTGATTGGCTCAGCACGGGAAATATAATTGTGTAAATAATAAATGTAAATAAATGACTCAATAATATATTCGGTCTCTATTCCTTGTAGCAAATGCCATCGAAAATCACCAAGTGTCTTCACAGTTCGCATCTAACTGCTGTTAACGACATTCACATTGGGCCCAATCTCATTGAAATATATTAATCTGCTAAACCTAACCTTTCCTTTCATTAATTAATTTCAATGCCAATTATTACTGTATTTATGTTAAAATGGTCTCCTCTGAAATTAGAAAAAATTGTTTTCATTAAATATTTTTATTAAATTTTGTGGACAGCAAAAGGTAATCAGGGTGATGTAAAATAAGTTGGATTGATTAAGAGTAATTACAAATTATTGGCATACCTAAGTAATAGCTGAATAATCTCGCTATTAGATTTCTCAATTCAAAGATGTTGGCAATAATTAAAGAGACAGATGTATTTCTTGGTGGATTTTGAGGTGTAAATTTCTCAATCGATACTGCACGCACCCTGAGGTGACGCCAGTGCTTTATTTTAAACTAAATCTCCAACCTAGTCGTACTCGTTTTGAATTTTTTTATTTATTTCAAATAGCAGGCGTTTGAAATTTTTCATTAGCCTCTTAGTTGAATCCGGTCTCCACAAAAAGTCGAGAAAGACATACGAAGACAGAGAAAAGTGTGGGATGAGTATTGTGGAGGTGGTTGAACATGAGATACATTGGGGTTATGGCGGAAGTTTGAAGTTAGAAGTCAACTGCCGGTTTAAAGACTTTTTTGACCACAGTGCACCTTCGTTTTGAGTATAAACCTCGGAAAAGTTAATTTTCCATTCCGTCACAGATTCTATGATGTAGGACTGTGAATTTGCTGAATTTTCAATAGCAAATTACAGTTCACATAGTTTATGCGAATGCCATCTTAATTTAGTGTACGTATCAGGATTGACTACGATTCAAAAGGCTTGAGCTATCAATATTCAAGAAATTAGACAAAACAATTAATATTTGTCCTCGAATTGATATGGAAAATCTTAATTTGTGGGATATAATCAAGGACAATTTAAATGTGTATCATAAAGTGATAAAATTACAATATCTCTGACTCGGCCAAGAGTTGGAAATATTGAAACAAATTTGCGCATCATTTTCTTAGAATGCACAATGAAATTCATATATTTGCAGCTCTATTGTTTAGTCATATCCATTTTATAACCTTGAAAGTTACTTTGTGGGACACGTTATCACTCTGTGCGTCATCGTATGCCTGCATTTCTGCTCGCCAGGATCGGGAGGTGCGGCCGTACAACTTTGTGTGCAGCGACCGTACAAACAGTGACCAAACATCAACCTCTGTTTAACCTGATCCTCCATCCTGATCATGAGTAGCTCCCTGCGTGTACACACTTTTCCGCAACATACCCACTGAATAAACGTGCTCCGTGCTACACGTATGTTTCCTTTATAGCTGGGTTATAGCTTAGCTGGTTCTGGGAGTCTAGCTAGATGTCGGAGAATCTGCCATAGAGATTTCTGAGTCAGTCAGAGGCTTTTAATAAAGTAGCAATCCGCCACAACTTTAACTCAATTAATGCAACCTGTGTCTGAATGCAAAAAAAACATTTTTATACCTTGAAACCGCGTAGAGTCTCCCTTAAAAAAATTAACTTTAAATCAGACGTAATAGCTTACGATCTTCTTACCTCGGATCATGCATTTTAGTTTATATGTGCTAATGAGTGATGGGAGCCTATTAAACATTTAATGTATTTATCCACAAACATTTGATATAACAAAATTGAATTGGAATATTGGAAAGCAGTAATGGGAACGTTAATCACAGTTGGATAAAATAAGGAGACAAATAAATCGGATGAATACTATCATGAAGGTCTTAAGAACGGTAATTCACTCTATTTAATTTTCACAAGAGAAATGGATTTAAAATAGAAACGCATGATGTAAAGTGGATTAAAGCTTAATGTGAACTTTGGAAACTGCACATGAATTCGACGTTAAGGATAGTCATAGTTAAACAATATTTCCTAATTCTGTAGCGGATTGCTACGCTAGTAAAGCCTGACTGACTCAGAAATCTCTAAGGCAGTTTATCCAACATCAAGCAAGACTCCCAGAACAAACTAAGCTATAGCCCAGCTATAAGGGAAACTGACGTGTAGCAGGGAGCACGTTTATTCAGTACGCAGGAAGCTTAATCATGATCAGGATGGTGGATTAGGTTAAGCAAACAGAAGTTAATGATTGGTCACTGTTTGTACGTCGCACCTCCCAATCCTGGCGTGCAGGCATGCGATGACGTGTCCCATAATCCGATCTGACAAAACCTGAACGTAAGCTGTCAGATAACTTGAACACTCCAAGTTTAGACTTCATTCTCTATAATTAGCATTTATGGAGAATCACGTGCAAATCTTTCAACAATCACTAATCGCGCCCGCATCATTTAATTTACGGTACCTATAAAAATATTATTTTTAACCACAGAAGCACTGTGAGATCGATTTAATTAGCTACTTAATTTGCACAAATCGTAGCCCTCTTTCCTCGGAGTATCATCACGTGTAGCATTCAATCCTCGGTGTAAAGAGAAATCACAGTTTTAAAAAATTTAAGCCGTGGAACCGTTGAACGTCACCTCGCGATATATGATCTGAAAAGTTATTTCGATCAAAGTACATTGGAAAACAAATAAGAGAACAATTTATTAACCATTGTTTAGTAATAGCATGTTTTGGCAACAATACTTCAATTCATCTCTTTTATGGTAATACTAGCAATGACTGACTTGTGGCCAGAACCAGGATCGACAAATATTTTGCGGCGGCTATGCTCACTGATGCCGCTTGGATCCAGGATCAAGTCAAGATTTGTTCTGGTTCCATTGTTGTGCATATATGTCGCAGGATCCTCATTGCTGTAAATAAGTTCTTGAGCATTCCTATCAAGCATATCTTCGATTTCATTTCCAGATATGATTGTATTCTTATAGCCCCATCTTGTGGAATGGGTGTTAAAGTCCGCTAATACAACAGTTTTGTGTGAGATGTTGATAAGTTTAAAGTTGGGACTATTCTGGATGTGTGAGTTGTTCAGAAAGTCAAAGTTGGGACAATTCTGGTTAGTGAGATGTTCAGAAAGTCAAAGTTGGGACAATTCTGGGATGAGATGTTCAGGAAGTCAAAGTTGGGACTATTCTGGAGTGGATTATAGACTGCATATATCTTGAAGTGGTTTTGACATTTTCACACATTTAATCTGATTATTTCGTATATGTCTTTCGTCGAGCCCGTACTCTTGATTAGATCCTAATGTGAAGTGAGACCTTCTTTTACTCCAGTTAGAATTCCACTTGCAACTTGCCGGCACTTAGATAGAAGGTACAAGGTGTAACCTGGGAATTGGTAGTATTTCAGATTGTCATCGGAAAGGTTTGCTTCTATAATTGTGAAAACGTCTACATCACAGGTTTGTAGGATTTTTTGGACTTGGATATTTTTTGCTCTGTGACATCCCCCAAGCGTTCCTCTGGAGGATCTGTAGACGTTGGGATTCACCCTGACAAGGGCGATTTCTCTTATAGGTTTGTTTCAAGCTAATCATAATTAATAGAAGCAAGAAATCTTAACAATAATCTTTTTGGCCGTATGAAGACACGTTGTTCAGGGTACATCAAGTGAAGATAAGTCTATTTCGAATTCCATAATAAAAATATAAATTTTCTTGTTTTATTTGAGCGAAAATTACGAATTGAATAAAAGAGGTAGTGGGGTGGATCACAAATAAATCAATGAAGTACAATAAAATAAATGAAATATGAGCTCAGTTCGTAAAAGGCACATGTTGCAGTATTTTACTTCGATTGAAACACGTCACCTCATTAAAATATTAGATGATGGAGTGTAAAATTGAAACGAGCGCATTATCTCGTACGTATTTTGTGCATATCTCCCTGACCACGTGAGTTGAATTCATACACTTCGATTAAACGCAATAAAATAATGTCTTACATTTATCAAAAATGTATTGTTGCGCAATACAGAAGGGGTCAAAATTCATTGCTTCCAAGTAAGGAGATAGTGGTGTAAAACAAAACATAAGGAACTTGTCAAATTGCCTAAATAATGCATTGCAAACACAATGCTGCCAGTTTGAGCATACTTAAAACACAACAATCAAGCAATGGCACACATGATATTATTTCACCTTAAAGGACGCAACAAAGTCAACAACCAGAACAGGTGTTGGTTGATTTTGGGAGCCTGATGATTAGATGAAAGTTAGTCTTCATTTAATTTAAAAATAGTACTGGTAGAAATTAGTAGAATTGATATTTCGATATTTCATTTTTTTCAATTCGACGACACAGGTGTTTGCATAGGTTATTTGGATCATCACGCATTTATCAAGGGTTGGCAGCACCTGGATTGTTCTAAATTATTTCACTTTCATTTCTCACTATGAATCGAGGTGAGTGCCCATAAAATTTGTCTGTTACATCTTTTTATTTGCATCGGAATATACCCTCAATTTTTAAAATTTCTCAATATGCAAATTATGGTCTTCTGGATAGCTGTCTATAAAGACAAACGAATGTAGCATCTCTTGATATGATTTGAAATTACAATTTCAAACTAAATATCAAAATTTAAATCGATTGTGAATTTTAAGTGAAACCTAAAGTAGGTGAAAATCTATTTATCTGTTCGTTTCTGCTCGCATTTGAGTGGATCAAGAAAACTATTCTATCTTAGAAGTGGGCAAAGATTTACCTGAAGGTATTAGCTAATTAGTAGAGATAAACATTTTTTACGACCATCTCTATTATTCAAATGTTTTGAAGAAAATCAACTTTAATATTTGATAGACTTGCGAAACTCATAAATAATTAAAATGCCAAAATAAATTATCCATGGGTAATGTTAAGTTGGCAACTAAGTCATTGTCGATTTCAAAAAAGAAGTCGAATTCGGAATTTTTGTATAAAAATATAACTTTATTCAATTAGATATTGGCCGTTCTTGTCGATGACCTTTTTCCATCGTTCTGGCAGAATAAAAATTCCCCGTTTGTAAAATATCTGGTCTTTGCTATTAAAAAACTGAATTAGGTATGATCCGACATCATCCGCGTTGTTAAAAATTTTACCATTTAAAGAGTTTTGCATGGAACGAAACAAATAGTAATCAGAAGGCGCAAGGTCAGGGCTATATGGTGGGTGTGACAAAACATCCCAACCCAGTTCCAATAATTTTTGCCGAGTAACCAAAGATGTGTGGGGCCTTGCGTTATCATGATGGAAAACAACACCCTTCCGATTTGATAATGCCGGCCGCTTATCTTCAATTGCATCCTTCAGTTTTTCGAGTTCTTCAACATACACATTTGAATTTATCGTTTGGTTCTGCGGCATGAGTTCAAAATACAAAATTCCTTTGTGATCCCACCAGACTGACAGCATAATCTTTTTTTTGGTGAATCTCTGCTTTTGATACTGTTTGGGCTGGTTGATCTTGCTTCACCCATGATCTCTTGCGAGTAACATTGTTATAAACTATCCACTTTTCGTCGCCAGTAAGTAAATAGGTTCTTCAAAAATGGATCATTCTCATTGCGTTACAGTGGCGAATCACAGATGCTAATCCGCTGCGTCAAATGAATTTCCTTTAACTGGTGAGGGATCCATAAATCAAGTTTCTTAACATAACCAAGGGTTTTTAATTGCTTCTCTGCAATATCTCGTGTTGTGCTGTGACGATTTGAATCGATAATGGCCTTGATATGGGTTTCATCCACTTCGACTGGGCGGCCAGATCGTTGTGAATTTTTCAGTGAAAAATCACCGGAACGAAATCTTTCAAACCAATTTCGACACTGCCTTTCTTCCTCACGGCTTCATCTCCATATACGGCACATAACTTCTTTTGTGCTTGCGATGCGTTCTTGCCTTTTCGTAAGTAATACAATAAAGTGTGTCGGAAGTGCACGTCCTATTCTTTCATTTTAAAATTGGGATAAAAACAAAACTAAAGAACTAAACAAAAAAAAATTTTTACTAATTAACCTAGAATCCCATACAGTAAGAAAAAATATAAGCTAGATGCTCTGGCCACGTTAACAAAACAAAAGGAATTATAGATTGAATCTGTCAACAAAAACGGGAATGACTTAGTTGCCAATCCAATAGATTGCGAAATGTTGCGTATAATTGACAGTTATTTCATTAGAATATACACAATGAGGTTTTATTGGCCCAGGATTATTTATAATAATCGCCTGTTTTTAGCGATATCAATACGGTAGAAGATTGCATGAAAATTAGACTAAGGTAACTTTCAAGGT